AAAATAGTGCAAAAGCACATGTCGAAAAAACACTTTATCGCGTTCCATTTTTCACAAAGCAAAAGAAATTGTTGTTTAGGAAAATAATTGTGTATGCTGACTGAATGTTATCGAGAAATGTCGAAATTAATCACAAACTACCTGTTTCGTTAGTAATGACTACTAGAACTGTTTGCATTGCCATCTAACATTTGCGGGCGGAAACTAAGTTAAGGTCCTAATATAATATGACATAATATAGAAAACAGAAACGTGTCAAAATATGAAAAACAATTGAACATAACATTGAGTATAACAAGTTTAAATTAAAAAAAATAAACAAAAAAGGATATGTTAATATCGCATATCCTTAGAATTATCGCGAGTTTTGATCTAATACATCTAAAGGCTCTATTAAAACTTGGTGTACGTGTATTTCGGGAAAACATAGTCATTAGTTCGTATAAAAAGCGAGCATTACAGTAGTATATATTTATAAAATATAAATATTTAGTGCATTTTATAAATACATGTAAAATCTTGTTCCGAATATACTTCTCTCATAGTAGAATAATTTGTATTATTGTTTGTGTGAAATTACATATTTCTAATATGATTTCAGCGCGTAAAGAGCTCACATATAATCGCATTCATATCGCATTCACATCGCTAATATTTTTCTCGACAAAGTAGCTTTTCCTGTTATCAATATAAAAATGACTGTTCGTAACACGAAAAACGTATAGTTCGAAAGTAATTTAACTCTGACTACACATATAAAAGAAATCTTTTTACACTGAAACACTGTCACGTGCATTTGTAGCAGTGGAACAAATAGAAGGACTTTACGTAATGTGATGAAAACTGTTACTTCCAGATGAACGTTGCAATCACCAGTTACAAAGCAGAAAAGGACAAAGTTAAACACTATGATTTTCTTATTTGCCTCAAAAGTCGACGGACATAGATCGGAAGGTTAAGAAGAGTTTTCATGGAAGAAAATCTCGTCCCTTAGGGTTTACGACTTCATTTATAGATTTTATTGCGCTACCGATCTCTCGCACGCAACGTTTGAATTCTTTAAATGCGCAAGCGTATGGGAGCAATGAAGTTAACTTCACGGCCGGCATTGCGCTTCTATGATCAGTTGCGATTCAGCTCGCGTTCTGATTTCGTGTTAAGTGTAAGTTGCGCAACAGATGAAGTCAGTGAGTATCGTCAAACATTAGACAGAGTTTATAAAGAAATGTCGCGTAACATATATAGT